GGTCGCCCGCGGGGGAGCACTTCCGGGGCAGAGCGTGACGGCGCCGTGACTCCGCCCCCCGGCACCCGCTCGCGCCCACCAATCAAGCTTGTTGTAATGAATGGATTGTTGAACCCTCGGAGAAGGCACGGTGCCTCCCTCATCTCCTGTTCTCAGGATTAGGACGTCGTGTGAGCCCACAGAGGCCACACCCAGTGAGTACCCATCCAACACCTGGAGTGTGCAAGGCAACACACTCCAGGGACACCAAGGGGTCTTGAATGAAAGACTGTCACAACCTTACTTTCCAGAATGAGTGACAATTCACTATGCGGGACTGAAAAATTTGTTTACCCAAATGGCTACTGTCCTAACCTTCTGCAAGGACAAAAAGGTACAAAGGTCAGCCAAGTCTTACGTAACTTAACTCCTACTGTATTTTGAAACAGTGAGGTATATTCATTGAAAACAACGGAACCAGGTAGAGCTGTGGTTAGCGTGCAGCTTTGACAGAAAGCAGGAACAAATTTTAGAATGGGAAGTCTGAGCAATTCGTATAAGGACATACTGATTCCTGACTCTGAGTATGTTTCACACGAAGGATGTAGATGCTGTGAACTGTCCCGAGGTGTTGCCTGACCCACCCGCTGAGCGTGCCCCGCTGAGCGTGCCCACATGCACTTCAGCGACCGTCTTATTCCTTCCTTCGTTTTAAAATCAGCCTGAGCAACACATCATCAAAGGAATGAATGTGATGTTTTTCATGGTAATGTTTTCTTTTTAAATTTGAAAATTATAAGAACCAAAAAACTCACTGATCTTTTCGTTTCGATTTTAAAATTCCTAAGTGTCTATTTCAAATGTAAATCTACAAATTCAAGGGTTCGCCTTTTCAAGTATGACACACTTCTCAGAATTCCTTTGTCAACGTTTTGGCATAAATATTTTCAAATTTTCTGTTAAAACTTAGAACTGAAAAAAATGGAAAATCTGTGGTTTTACTAGATCTGAGAAACTAAACACAGAAAAAAGTCATTTCCTGCAGACACTGGGGGTGGGGTAGGAGGGTTGTCACTGTTGTGTCTGGAGGGGAACTTTCCAGTTATTATCTTAAATCCTCAGAACAACTGTCATTGTGTTTCCAGGAGCTGTCCCCATCACCCCGAGGGACAGCAGCGCTGAAGCCACTGCCCTGGAAAGGGCACAGAGGGGCTTCCTGCCTACCGTCACCCCTGGAGCTCGACTGCTTGTCCACATCTCCTCCAAGCCTTCGTGGCTCAGGACCAGGGGGAAGGTCTCAGCCGAGCTCAGGGCTGCGACCCGGTTCAGAGCGCTGTGACAGGGCGTGATGCTCCTTTCGTGGTCGTGGTCAGAGACGAAGGGTCTGAAAGTGGGTCCCCATTCCCCGGCAAGCCATCCTGAACGTGTGTGGGGACGAGCCTGTTGGTCTAATGGCAGGGGCGCAGGCAAAGGGGGACAAATGTGAAGGGCCGACGACAAGTGGACTTGCTTTTCCACCAGGTTCACGACTCTCACGGGCCATTCTTCTTCCCCAGGGGAGAAAAGAGCTGCACAAGGGACACAGACATTTACTGTGACATAAAACATAAAGAGAAAACAAAAGGCAACAGGCCATGTTTACAAGATAATGGTGACGTTTTCCAATCGGGGGAAAGGCAGAGCACGGACACCCTCACAGCGTGAGTCCTTGGGCCTCCCACAGAGGGTTGGCCTACACCGTGACGGCTCAGTGCCACGTGAAGCACTGACCAGGACACGGCTGTGGACCCAGGGTCTTGGCCCATTGCCAGCTCCACAGACCATGGCCTTAGGCGGAGGCTCAACCTCTGTCACTCTGTTTCCGCACCTGGACTAGAACCAGAGAATGTACCTGCGCCCAGGCAGGGGCTGCAAGTTGGAAGCGGTCACCTGTGCACAGCCCGCACACAGCCTCGGTCACGAACGAGCCTCCGGTCAAAGCACGGACCTGCAGGCGGTCCGATTTCTAATTAAAAAAAAAACGAGAAGATTTTAGGGGTGCTGTGTGTCCTGCACAAAATGAAATCATTCTTGACCCAGTTTCCCCAACAGAGAGCCCGGCTGGAGCAGCACCTGCGCCCCTGGCAAGTTCCGTGTTCAGAACAGGACCGTAATTCAGCGTCTACACGGAGGAGCCAAGCCGGGACCCCACGGGAACGTGGCTCCGTGTGCGCGGTCGGCTGCACTTCCGCGGTCCCATGCGGTGGCCGTGGTGGGGTCGTGGTGTCATGAAGGGAAAGGCAAGGGGTCCCTGCTCCATTTTCATAAGAAAAGACTTTTGCTAATTTTTAATTAAAAAGAAGTTGTGCATCTTTCTAAAAACTGTATATTTACACGAATTAAAAGTAAACTTTAGTATTGACTCTTCCTGGAAAAATATTATTCTTTTCATTGTTATCCAGGAAAGGTACATTTTTTTTAAAACTACATTTTCTTCATGAAAACCAAACAAAAATTATCTTTAGAATTTCTTCACTCTTTAGTGCAGTTGAGCATCTATTTTTGGGTGAGTTTAGGCTCTTTGACACAAGGGAGGAAAATGAAGACCCATTAAATTTGGAGATATTCGAACATATTCAGACCAGGAGAGAAACCAGACAAAGGAAGATTTCTAACTTTATCTTTCTTAGTTGGTGAATATTTTATAAAATTCTAACTTCTATTGATATTAATATTAATATCTGAGTTAAAGCTTGAGTTAAAATAAGAGAATAAACATCTGCAAAGAAAAATGTTGCTTGATGTTCCATGAACACCATTCTCTTGGAATAGTATTTAAAATTCACTTTATTCCTGTTCGAGTCGTCTATGGAAGTCATCAAAACATGAGTGGGAATCTTACATATAAAAATACATAATTCCTATATTATATATAGATATCTTCTATAAAGGAGGCTGTATTTTCAAACATAAAAACCATTGCTTGTTTATGTTTGATACATTATAATCAAAAACAGTTTCTTCTTTCTAAATATCAGCTGGACGGGTTGGGGGCGGTCGGGCCCTGAGTTCCCGGTCACCTTGTGTTATGTCACACACCCACTCTCCAGGAGGAGCTGCAGGGGGAGTTGCGGGAGGCGTCCCCTGCAGTAATTACTCCCTTGTGCGTTACTGCCTGAGGGCTTCACACTCTTCCTGTACAGACAGCCTTGAAGCTGAGTCCCTGACCTTGACTTTTCCTGACTACAGTCTGCCTCCCTAAGAGGACATTTAAGAGGGCCTGCCAAGCTGCTTTGGGTGCAGAGACTGACAGCGGGCCTTCTTAGGGGTAATAAGCCACGTGAGACACCGAGAGCCTGAAGTGCCGACAAAACCCCACGAACTAGGAAAATCGTTACATCGACTTTTAAGTGATGCATTATTTAATTATATAAGAATTTTTAAGTGTTTGATATTAAGATTCAATAATTCAAGCCCATTTCCTTTCCCACATATTTCTTCTACTCATCTGTCCAGTAAGCCCTCTGCCCAGCCTCCTCGAGGACAAGGGGCGCCACCAACTGTCCTTGAGAAGCTCCTTCCTCCCGCAGAGACCTTGGGGACAATCTGGGCATGGACGATGAGGGGCTCACATGACCTGGAGGGACAGGGATGTGGGGTGCAGCGCGTGGACGCTGGGCCTCCCCCGCAGCTGTGCCCGCAGCGTGCAGAGGGGCTGATGTCACAAGTACGACCATGGCTGGAAACAAGGGATGGATTTTATTGGTATCACAACTGTAGGCTCATTATAAAACCATACAAAGTTGCAATACTGTGCAGAAAAGGTCCATTTCTTAAGAAAATAACTCTCATATCTCGACGGAGTGCTGTTAGCTGCTGCATGTGTATTTCCTGGCGATGCTCTGACTGCCTATGAAAGCGGGGTCCACCGAGGCCACCTTGGCCGCCAAGAAGGAGTGGACACAGTGCAGGACAGCTGTCACGTCCTCAAACTCCAGTTCCTGCCAGAGAAACAGAGGAAGTGAGTGTGCGTCAGTATCAGGAAAACATGTGACAAAGTCTACACCTATCGACAGCAGGAACGGTACTTGAGTGCGAACACGCACGGAGTCAGGGAGGCCGGACGAGGATGCGAGTCGTGCGACCCACACGGCTACAGACACGAATGGACCGGGCTTCATGTCGCACTGGTGTCCTGGCGACTGAGTCCGACTTAGTCTCAGTTCCTTGTTTTCCTGTCACTAACAGAGCTCGACACTTATTTCTTCTCTTTGGCAACCGACGTGGTCTGTGCCGGGTCCAAGGCCCTGGTCGGCAGGGACCTGATTGGGGTCCTCCCGGGAGCGTGGCCCGCTCAGTGAGCGGTGATGTCGCTGCCGCAGGGCTCAAGGCATCGTGATTCAGTGGCACTAATCACGTGCTTTAGCCCTGGTGTGTGTGCACGTGTGTCCACATGTGCATGCGCAGACATGTGCCTGAGTGTGTACCCCGCAGGGTGCATGTGTATCTGTGCATATGTGTGTGTGCAGTGCATGTATGTGGGGGTGAGTACATGCATGTGTGGGGTGAGTATTTGTGCCTGTGTGCGTGTGTACATGCCATGCATGAGGGTGAGTGTGAGTGCATGTGTGGGTGAGTATGTGTGTGTAGGCGGATGAGTGGACATGTGGGCACGTGCTTCGTAACAAAGACCACCATTGTCTGAACAGCCAACAGCTCCGAACAGAGTGCCAGGGGCAGGGGGACAGATGAGTCACCTGGTCCGTCCCTAGCCTGACACCATAGCGACAGGAGAAATAAGAAATGATGCCTGGGGGTGAGTCTCCTTCAGAGATCGTGGTGGCCCCAATAAGAAAACAAAATTACAAATACTCCAAATTACAAACTCCTGGGTCCCTCACTCCCGTTTTAAAGATCCCGAATGCTATTCAAAAGCAAAAGCGGCCACAAACGGACATCATCCTTCCTCCTGCAGCCCCCACTGCCATGCCCACGCCACGTCAACACGCGAGTCGCGATGAGCCGGAAGGAGCGAAGCAAACTGTTCTACGGCCAGGCTCCTCTCGGGAAAGGCGACCTCCTGCCTTGGTGTCTTGGAGGTGAAGCGTGACCCTCGCCGCCCTGCCGCTCCTGCCCCGGGGAGGCAGCCTGAGCGCACGGCTCTGGCTTTTTCTTCTACTTTGACGTGACAAAATTCCAGAATAATGAAGAACAAAATTCTTTTGAAGGTGACTGATGTTTGATTGACATCCTATTAGCGACATCTTGTCCAAATTCTAGCGTAGTTATTCCAAACCGTTGAGGTGGCATCAGAAAGAAAGCGGTGCCATCTCAAAGGACAAGGACGACAAACTCCGGCAGGTCTGCTCCACAGTGTGCCCTTTCAAGCACCTCTGGGGCAGGGTCTGGCCTTCTCATTCTGGGGCCGACGGAGGGGGAAAGTGGACACGGCCCCCACACGAGGGACGGCGGCACCCCAGGGGAAGGCGTCCTTCCTGCCACCCAACTACGCAACCCACGACTTGACATCTCAAAACTTCCTTTCAATCGAAGCCCACTGGCCCCTGTGCAGGGACAGCACCTGCCTGCCTTCCTCTGTGCCGCTCCTTCATGGGTGGCTATGGGACGCAGGGGGACACCCCGAGTCCTCGGGCAGCAGATGTTCCACTGCGTGGCCACGAGCAGGAAGTTCACGCCCTAGCCAAGTGACCTCTGGTGCCAGGGGAGGGGGCCTGCGGGAGGGCGAGCTCAGCTCAGAGGGACGCCCTCCGAAGGGACAGAAGCGGAGATGTGGTGACCCCGGCTCCCTGTGCGTGGAGCCGCCCTATGTCCTGTGGCTCCTAGGGAAGGGGGCCCCTTCGCTTCGCCCCACATGCGTTAGGCTCTGTGCGACCAGACCCCAGCCTCGCAGCTGCACCCCGGCTGCTTGTTCCTGATCAACTACGATTTGCTTTGACTTTTCCTAAGGGTTGGCAGGCAGAATGTGCAAAGTGCTGGGGGTCGTCCTGTGAGAGCTTTGCGATATTCAAGCAGTTTCCCGAGGAATCACTACACTTGTCACTCAAACCGCGCCCCACAGAATCCGGAAGCCAAGCTGGGCCGAACTGGACGAAACCCCTGCTCGACCCACAGCCAGAGCCGTGCCCAGAGTCATTCATTGTGGTTGTTCCTGGAAGAGAGAGAAAGCAAGCGACGTTCTTGGAAATACACAAGGTTCTCACAGACGAACACAAACTTAATTCGCTGTGCGGCTGTGTGTCCCAGCAGGAGTGACCGACCTTGTTGGAGGGACGTTTTGCAGAAAGGCCATCACGCCCCTGCGACTTATGTGTTGGGTCTTGGTTCTGCGTGTGCAAACTGGAAGCTGCTTTTCGAGTCCCCAGAGCCTCGTCCAATAGCCGCACGACAGCCTGCGACGGAGACAAACAGCCACGGGCACTGACGCACAAGCCCAGACGCGACAGCCGTGATTTTCATCTCAGACACTGAAGCCGAAGCCGCTCGCGCTCGGCAGAACCGCCGAGGCCCCGACAGAAAGCAGCGAGCTCGCGCCAGGAGGTCCACGAAGCGCCGAAGTCCGGGGACCGCGGTGAGGCCCCGTCCCGGCTGTTTCCAGAAACGGGATGAGCGGGGCACCCGTGAGCGTTTCGCCGCCTTCGGTGCAGCCACGGCTGACGACTCTCCAGCCACCTCGCCAGCAAAGCTGTCCCCAGTCAGGACGTGGCCACTCGAGTGGCCGAGAGCAGACGCCGACGTTGTGTGCAAACTCAGGGCTCACTGCGACTTCTAAGACCGCGTGTCCGTCCAACAGTCAACAGGCTGGACAGTCACAGCACACGCCACACCGAGGACGGAGCGGCGCCCCCCGGGATTTGTGTGATAGCAAGTGTCGTATTCGAACGGGAGTTTCTGTTCCCACAGGTCTGAGGAGAAAGTCGACTGGGGAGAGAAACGGCTCGGGCTCCTGGGGACGTGGCAGCGGACGTCCTGCCGGCCCGCGGTGTCGCTGCAGGGCGAGGCTGCCAGCTTCGCTGCTCAGCTTGCCATTTCAGACCAGACCGGCCGGGCCGTGCGGGCCGCCGAGCAGCCGCTGCTGGGGGGCTGCGGGAACTTGGGGGCCCAACCCTATGGGGACCTTCCCGCGTCACTGGTGGGGAGCGAGGCCCGCCGCTGGCGCCGCGTCAAACCTCCGGCTGTTACCACTGGAAGAAAATCGTGCAGCACCGTTTTGAAGCCTTGTGTCAGTCCCCGAGATGGGACGAGGGACTCAGGGGTTCGGTGTGTGAGGCTCAGTGGAAAATCTGGTGGGGAGCCCGCCCCTGACTGACAGACTGTTTACCTGTGCAGGGGCCGTCTGAGGAATGACGGGGACAGAGCGGCCCGAGGCGACAGACGTGATCCTTGTGGTGGGGACAGTGCGGGGGGAACTGGCCTTGGGTCTGTCCCTGGACCAGGCATCTGGTGACTACGCGCTCCAAAGGGACCGACTTTCTCTCAACATGACAGAGTCTTGGGACATGCGTGGCGGAAAAAGTGACAGACTCTCTGCAAAACCAGACCGCATGTGCCACGTGGCCCCTGTTCTGGTTCAGATGCTCTCGCTTTGCAAATATTAAACCAGACCCCACCCCCCCAGAAAGGGGCCCCCATCGCGCGCGGTGCTGCGTCTGGCGAGGCGCGGTGCGTCGCCGTGTGCTCGCCGCTTCTGCGTGTGGGCGGAAAGACAACCACCCAGGGACGATTCTCATGCTCGGGTAAAGGGAAAACCAGGATCCGCCTCTCTGAGTCCTGCACGAAATGCACTTGAGTAGAGAAGGTAGTGCTTCTGCTCCGTGCCCAGCGGGCACCCCAGGGCCTTCTGGGTGCAAAGGGCTCTCGCCCAGGGCTCTCTGAGCCCCCACCCCTAGGAGGCGCTAACGTGCTCTGCTGGAGTGACACACTCTGGACTTCTCCCGGACAGGCGGGGCTGGCGGCCCAGAGTCCCAGCTCCACGCAGTCCTGGGAGGTGGCAGGAGGTGGTTCCCACACGGCAGGTGCATGGGCCCGATTAAGAAGCACGCAAAGGACCTGGACGGACATTCTCCAAAGGTGACCTATAAACGGCCAGCAAGTACATTAAAAACTGCTCAACATCACTAACTATCAGGGAGATGGGACAGCACCTCACACCTGTTTGGATGACCTGATGCAGAACCATAGGAGACGACGGTGTCGGGGGGCAGCCTTCCAGTCTTCCCCCTCCCTCTCTCTTTTAGGGTCCCACTTGGCTCACGGCTAATGTCCCCTAGACTCCCTTCAGGGCAGCAGGACCGAGAGTAGTCAGCTGTCACAGCCCAGTGTCCTGCGTCCGTGCTTGAAGCGTCATCGGCTGCCCCCTTGCACACCTCATGACCCACCAGCCTGGACAGTGTTTATACTCCGAGTTTTATCTGTTCCCTGACTATACGGATGCCGAGAAATTCTACACCGTTTCTATTGCACTTAGGAGTAGACGTGGCTCACCATCTCATTACACTGAATGAAGCGTTGTCAGAGTCGACGCTAAACGTTCAGAGATAACATGTCACGTGTGGTGCGTCCCCTGATTGAGTTCATCAGAAAAACGAGCGTGCAGAGGGCTGACTGATCCCGAGCAACACGTGTTCACAGGTTTAATGTTTCTGTTTTTTCTTAGTGTGTAGACCTGCCCTCAGTTTGTCTTTAGTTTATATTAAAACTGGGTTGTTAACAATGTGTTTACACCTAAAATAAGCGGGAAACGTTCAGCTCAGTGCGATGAATTTATAAGTTGCGTCTAACATCCTTTCAATCAGCTGTTTGTTGATGTCACAGATAATTTATCATACACTTAAGTGGTTTGTAAAACTCTTCCTTTAAATTCTGACTTCTCATGCGTTTTCAGATATTGACTTCCTGCTAATATTTACTAAGAAACGTGATTTCTGGTAGAATCCAACCGGATTTCAGGGGTCTTGACGTTTGAGGCCCACGTCTGTAGGAGGCCCCGGGCGCCCCGCTGTCTGGCTGTGGCAGAGGGCCCCGCCTCAGGGCCGACTCGCGTGTTTCCCGCGGGGGGGAAGACGGCTCCGCGGCCCGTTCGCGTGTCACTCTACCTGTGGTGCGGGCAGCGGAGCGCGCGCCCTACCTTCATCTCAATCTGCTTGGTCTCGAGATCCTGAAACAGCAGCTTGACACGAGCTTTCCCGTCATCCGAAGACCCCTTAAGCTGCGAGAACTTGAACCTCCAGAGGACGTTCTGCAAAGGCATGAAGTTAATTAGTGATTTGGAAACAAGAGCTCACTTATTTCATTAAATCTATTTGTGACTTAATCATCTGTTTAAACAAAAGCAGACGTTTGCTTAGTACACCGAGCCCGTGATAGTTGATCAGAATCACCACCTTTCTCCCCACCCACCGCGGAGGTGCTCACTCCGCCCGGCTCCCTTTCTGCCCTCCGGCCAGGCCCGCGGAGCGGGTCGCGGTGCCCTGCGATCCCAGCCCGGCCCGTCTTCTCTGCAACCCCATCCGCCCTCGTCTGCCCCGTCCAATTTCTTTGGATTTTTCTGTACGTAGCCTGAAAGCATCATAAGCTCGCTGCTCATTCTTCTGCTGGTAAAACTTTTAAAAATCGACTTTGAGGCCCAGTTGTTGCTACAGGACATGAGACCCGGCCCGGAGTGCAGACGAAGCGGCCGCGCCAACCCTGACTGATGGGCCGTCCGTGGCTGTGTCCATGGCACCCAGCTTTAGTTTCTGCCCCAAGCTGAAAAACGTAAATAATGTCCCTCTCTATAGCATAAAAATTACCTCATGTTTGCTAAGGCGCTTCAGAGACGAAATGCACTCTGCAAGTTCTCACTCTTTAATAAGCAAGGCTGCGGCAAACAGCAGCTTGATGCCTGACTTGATAAACGATCGTCTTTAATTACAGACACTTCATGATAATAAATCTCTCTCTTCCCAGGAAAAGCCCAATACAAAGCAGCAGTCACTTTTAGCACGTTAGAGGCTGCGTTTCTATTAAAAGCATTTATTTTGAAATTACGAACGTATTTTTCCCTGCGTGTCCTGAAGGCAGAGAGGCCGGGACTCCGAGGGCGTTTGAAGGCACTTTCATCCTATCTGACCCATGGTGACCTCCAGGTGTGGGCCATGTCCTTCTCTGATTTTGAATCTTACAGCTGCACAGAGTCTCTGCACTTTGGGGCAAAGTGTCAGAACACCTGTTCCTTCTAGATTCTGAGAACCCCCCGAGTCGCAGGCCCCGGGGGACATTTATTCCAGCTCTTCACTCCCAGGGCAGGAGGCGGAGTCTCTGCCCCCGGCTCAGGCTTGGAGATCACACCCACATCCCAGCGAGGACAGAGTGGGCAGTCAGGACACTGGGCCACAGTGCTGGGCATCCGTGTGATGTCCAGCATGAAACCTTGGCCTCTAGTCAAATCTGGAGAACTTTTTCTGACAAGTATTTGGTTAACAAGTATTGCTGCCATGTTGAATCTAGTTCTGACCCAGAAATAATACACACACGGTCAGACCTGTCAGGGTAATACACGCAGAAGTGCTAATTACCTTGTGAATATCCGCGTGGTAAGTCTCAATCTAAGTGTTTCTAGGCCAAAAACCTATTTGATCTTTCCATAATGACTTATATAAAGGACTTATATTATGAAGCAAACATCATTTTCATAATTATTCACAGTCATTTCACATTCAGTAATCATTCAGTTATTTTCATAATTATTTCAGGTCAATCTAGAAGTAATTGAAAACCTATTTACACTTAACTTACAAACAAAGGTTTCTCAAATGCAGCCAATTTGTAAATATTTCATGGAGTTACAAGTCATTGTTATACTCTTCACAGTTAAGCGGGGAGAGCTTTTCTTTTGAAAATTTATTCAAATATTGTAAATTGAAAAAAAAATTTAAGGAATCCATGAAACGATTTCCTTTTCGTACTGTCGTTTTGTTTCCATTTTCAGTTACCATCAGGATGTAAAATAGACTCGAAAGTTTTAGGCCACAGCCTCCTGAGATGACGAAGCATCCACCTGAGACTGTGGAGTCGAGCCTTCGCCTTCAGGGGAAAGCAGGTTGGGGACAGGGGGCAGACTGTACCTGATGCTCAGGTGAGCGAAAGGGCGGTAAGCCGGATCATGAACCGTGACTGACAGCGGACATGGCCCTGAGCGGTAGGAGCTCCAGCCGCGGGGAGGGGACTCCCAGAAACAGAGGTCGCCCAGAGGCCGAGCGTCCGGTCCAGAGCAGCCCCTGGCCTGGCCAGGCCTGTCGTGTCCTGCCCCTTCCCAGCGCATAGGCCCCCGTCACGCTGGGAAGCCAGCTGGCTGATTCTGGCACCGTCTGGGTCAGGGTCCACTCCGGCCAGCCGAGCAGGTCACCACGGTGGCGGCCCGATAATGCAGGCTGATCCCGGGCTGAGTTTGGTCATGCGGTCGGTCTCTGGGGTGTTTCAACACCGCAGCGTCTGCTCGGGGCCCCAGCCCGGTTCCGCATCGCGTTAAGAAACATGCTGGACTCCCCGACTTTCACTGGGCTACTTTTAGGGCTGGCCAGGAGGACATGCTGGGCGCAATGGTGGGCAACGGCCCTGCAGGGCCTCAAGGCCAGGCCCGGATCCGTGGGGACTGGGGGAGGCATGCAGAAGAGGTCACGTCCTAAGGAGACAAATCTCGGGGCAGCGCGGGAGAAACGGGGCCGGCAGGCACTGAAGGCCAGGCTGCTGTTGGGGTGAGTGTACGGTGGTGGCACAGGGGACACCCGCCTAGCACCTCCGCTCCTGGGAATGCAGATGCGGTGAACCCCAGTCTACCCAGCCCTGCACCCCAGTGCAGACCCTGCCATGTACAGGGGCTCGGGCCTATGTCCTTGTCATCTGCCCCGTCCCCCAGGCCTTCTGACGGCACCTCCAGATGTCAGCGCTCTGAGCCAGGGGGTGACTCCCTTCACCCCATCCTGCAGAGTTGGGGCTCTGAGTCCCTCAAAGGGAGGGTGCCAAGCCCCTCTTACCCCACAGTCACTCACCTGCCCTGCCCTGGCCGTGAGGCGCAGGTGACGGGCACTGTACCTGCAACAGGGCACCTTGGGGACCCAGAGGAAGACACAGTGGCCTCTGCCAGCTCGCTGCGTGCCTGGTGCCCCACAAACCTTGAATAAACCATGCACAGAAACGCTGACACGGGAGAAGGCCCCAGGTGAGCGGCCGGCCCTCAGGCGGGGAGCGCCTGGCTCCCCACGGCCAGATGGCCAGATGACACAGCCACGTGCAGCCAGAGGACGGGGCCACCCCTGGGCCCTGGGCGGTTAGGACTGCGAAAACTCGCTCATGAACAGTCTCTGTCACTAAGCAAGAAACAAGTTTGTCATCAACACTGCCCGGCTCTGGGCCTTGAGGAGACACTGGGCCCCTGGGCGCAACGTGGGAACGAAGGCTGAGCATGAAGGAGCCACCAGCACACGACACAGCTGGTCAGGGCCAGGGCTCCTGCCGGACGTCGCGGGGGTCAGCAGCTGAACGGCCGCCAGCCACGTCTCCAGGGGTGCGTGGCAGCCGCTGCTGGCACCTCACCTTCGTCTTGCTGTCGACACAGGTGAATCCCAAAGCGAAGTCCACGATGAAGCACAGCGTCTCTCCTCGCCAGCTGCACACGTATGTTTTGGACTAGAAACAAGAGTATTGGTTCTGAGAGAAACTCTTCAACGAGGCTGTCTGGCAGTGATCGGGAGGTTGCAGCCCCACCCCCGCCCGTGCTCAGAAACCGCTTTTTCAAATGTGTCAACACGCAGACCGCATGGAGAGGAACTGGACGGTCACAGGGTCGTGGGGACGCTCTGCCCGGAGCAGCCTTCCTCAGGGCGTCCACCGGCAGGGAACCTCCAACCCCGTGACAGCGGACACCCTGCGGGCTTCTCGCTGACCAGACACAAACCAATGAGCCAGCGAGTCTGTTCAGCTAAGTGCTGCTGGAACGCTCAGTGCTGGCTGATGCTCGCTCCTCCCTCGGAAAGGACCAGCCGCGTCCTAGGAGATGCCCCAGGACAGAGGCAGGGCCAAACGCTGTCCCCCAGGAAGCGGACACACTGGCCAGCGGCCCAATGGGAAACATCCAACAGCAGGAGAATGAGCACAGCAGAGCCGACCCAGCGAGCGAGGCCCCTCACGGGTGTGGGCGCTGCAGTGGGGCGGGCGGCCCAGCCCCGGGGTGCAGGCTTCTGCTGACGGTGGCCCTGAAACCAGACCACGGAGCCACCCGTCTCCAGGGCGCAGGCACTGAGGGCTTGAGCACAGGCACACACAGGGCTCCTGCCCCTCATGCTCACACACACTCACACTTACACGTGCTCACACACTCACACACATGCCTACACTCACTCACACACATGCTCACACACACTCACACTTACACGTGCTCACACACTCATACACATGCCTACACTCACAGTTAAACATGCTCACACACTCATACACACGCCTACACTCACTCACACACATGCTCACACACTCATACACCCGCCTACACTCACTCACACACGTGCTGACACACTCATACACACGCTCACACACTCATACACCCGCCTACACTCACTCACACACGTGCTGACACACTCATACACACGCTCACACACTCATACACACGCCTACACTCACTCACACGCATGCTCACACACTCATACACACGCCTACACTCACACTTACACATGCTCACACACACTCAGACACACGCTCACAGATACACACATGCTCGCACACGTACACACACTCACAGGTACACACATGCTCACACACTCATACACATGCCTACTCACTCATACACATGCTCACACACTCATACATAAGCTCACAGATACACACTCACTCACACACATGCTCTCACACACTCAGACACACGCTCACAGATACACACATGCTCGCACACGTACACACACTCACTCACATACATGCTCACACACACTCATACACACGCCTACACTCACTCACACACATGCTCACATACTCATACATAAGCTCACAGATACACACATGCTCATGCACACTCATACTTACACACATGCTCACACACTCACACACATGCCCACACTCACTCACACACATGCTCACACACTCATACACACGCCTACACTCACTCACACACATGCTCACACACACTCAGACACACGCTCACAGATACTCACACACACGCTAGCACACATACACACGATCACAGATACATCACTCACACACATGCTCACACACACTCAGACACACACTCACAGATACTCACACACATGCTCGCACGGACACACACACCTTGGGCACACTCCCAGACACGTCAGGCTAAAGCACCGAGTGCAGAGGCTTGTGCTCGAGTGCAAGTTCCCCACTTTCCAGTCGAGGCACAAACCGGGGAAAGAGCCCCGAGGTCTCGATGAGCTCGCTGCTTGCGACCATCTGCGACTCCCCCGCAGGTGAGACGCCCCCACCCTCATCCGGGGCAGTGGGAGGACATGGTGGTCAGTGCCCTCGGCTCCTTGAGCTGGTAGGTTTCATCCTCCCAGCTCAGGAAGTTTTCAGTCACTGTGTCTTTAAAATTTTTTTAAATTTTTTCAGTTACAGTTGACACTCAGTGCTTTTTAGTCTCTGGTGTACAGCACAGACGTTGGACCTGTACACACCTCACCAGGTGCTCCCCCGGTAAGTCTAGTGCCCACTGACACCACACGCACAGTCATGATGATGCTACTGACCATGCGCCCTGGCTGCACGCGCACCGCCGTGGCCACTGTGGGCCCCGCCCCCACCATCCCAGTGACAGGACAGTTCGGCCAATTTCTGCTGGCCTGTGTCCAGGTCCCTCTGCCCCGCCATTCCGTCTTGAGCTCACCTTCTCGTTTTCGTGCTGTTTATTCCTAACACGCCTGTCTGGCTCTCCTTTATGATGGATACATCCCCGCGGCAACATCACATGGCCCGGCGGAGGCTCTGTGCCTGTCATTCGTTTCAGAGCTCTGCTTTCGGAAGGATTTCTATCACAGCTGCTTTAAAATATCTGTCAGATAATTCTAACACCTGTCACCTTCATGTTGGCGGTCATTGTAATCATTCGTGCAGTTTGAGATCTTCCTGGTTTTTGGTGAGGAGGGATTTTCTGTGTTGAAACTCGTCCTATTTAAGTCGTCTTTCTCTGGCACGTCTTCTGCGGGGAAGTAGGGCTGCCAGCCTGGCCTCTGTTGGTATGTGTCCCTGCCTTACTGCTGGGCGTAGCAGGAGGTGGCCCCACGAGGCTTCCACTGCCAGCATGGGAGAGGTGGCTCCCAGCCCGGGTGACGGGGAATGTCCTGACTGTCCCCTGGGCTCCAGACACCACCCATGTCTTCACTGACCAGCTCCTTGCGCCTGTGGCCTGTAAAAGCCCTTCCCTGTCCCTACACCTGCCAGCGAGTTTGTGGTTCGTGCTGAAGACCGCATTCCAGGGTTCCAGATGCTACCCGAGTGGACTCTTAACTTCTCAGGACCTTCTGGAATTCCTGTGAACAACTCGCTGGTAACTTCTGAGTCGGCTTCTCTGCTTTAGAATAGGTGCTGCTCCAGCCTGTCCTCTACCTACCTTTTTATTGCTTTAAATTAAAAGTTTATTATAAAGTGTATCACATTTACATACTGAAATACTGAAATCCCTGTCTGTTCCCCTTGATCGCACCCCAACCCGGGGTCCGCATCATCTCAGACCGCCTGGGCAACAGCGAGCTCGCCTGGGCATCACCCCGATGGCCTCTTCCGTCTACAGCAGGCATGGAGCCCCACGAGCCACCTCGGCAGCTCAGGCAGACGGTGCGCCCGCGCGTCCCGGTCCGTCCCCTCTTCCAGGGTGTCGACGTGCTCGCTCTGGCTTCTCCACTCCTCATCGATACCTGTCACCTTCAAACCTGTCAGTGCTGCGGTCTAGCCAGTGTGGCTGCCACTCCCTGGGACGCAGACTCGGCTTCTCCTGGTGACTCAAAGGGGACGGGGCGCTGACCTCCCACACGGACGCGCGGCCTCTCGGGCGGCGGCTTCCTGCACAGCTCGCGGCCCCCTCACTGGAGTGTTCTTCACGCCGTGACTCCAAGTCCGGTGACCTGAGTCCCCCCGCTGACTCTCCACGTCATGGAGACACGGTGCCCCCCCCCACACACACACGGCGACGTCTAGTACGCAGCCGAGTGGCACCACTCACCAACAAATCAAATGTTTTAATCGCAGGCGTGAGTGTCTCTCTCACGACACCATGCGGACACCATATTTGCAGGTGGTGAGTTCCTTGACTGGCTTGAATTTTCTACTTGTTCTTTAAAAACATTTTAGTGAAGTTGTAAAAAATAAACCCAATTTAGTCTTGCCTTACTCAAGAATACACGACATTCTTTATTAGGGGTCTGTACATAAACTTTAAAAAAATGGTTTGAAGCCTTACAGGTCATTTGTTAAGTTTTTTCGAGGTGCCAGGCCTGTGACATGTGTTGGAGACTCTGGGGCCGGGTCGCAGTGAACACCAGGACGGGACCCTGCCATCGCCAAGCTTGGGCTTCAGAAGGACACAGGCCTTGCGGTCCCCAGACGCGGACGCAGGTCACGTCAGCCCCGCCCTCCGCCGTCGGAGCAGGGTGCCGGCGGGCCGGGGTGCAGAAACGTCGACACGCGGACAAGTAACAAAAGGTTCTTGGAGGTGAGAAGAGGCTGTGCTGGAGCGGGGGGTGTGAGCTGAAGGGCTGGACGAACCCTGAAACGGATTCGGAGCAGAGACAGAAACAGCGCCGGCAGCGCCCTCAGCTCCCGCCTGCGCTAAGCTGTGACGGGTTAGAGGGAAGGGGGGCCGGCCGTGACCCCGTCTCTCCCTGAGAAACTGTCGGATCAGCTCACTTCCAGCAGGAATCGGGCGG